ACATTTGCATTCTAAAGCTGACCATACACTGTTTTTTTTGTTCAGCCAGCCGCTAAACAAAAAAAGTAACAGATTCCACCAGCCACACAAATGAAGTGTATGAAGGACTCACCCCTGACAGGAAACTGTATTCCGACAGTTGCATCCACCGCTGTGTACTGACAGCTGCTGGTTGGGAAATATTTTCCAAAATGTCCTTTGGACAGAAATCAGTCAACTTCTGTTGAGCAGGGATGGCTGCTGGCCCATTGTAAGCATGCAAAATATTTAATTCCAGCAGTTCATCTTTAAAGTACATGTGCACAGAAACTACATATAGTAAAATCAGTATTTCTTTATTTGACATTCCATCACACATAAACCATTTAAGATAAAAGTTAGTTGTACAGTATACTCGAAATGAATGTCACAGGGCTCACCTTATATTGAAGGATTACAGCCAGTGATGTAGCGTAGACATAAACCACCAAGATGATCCTATCGGGGGGGTGAGGGACATTCAAAAACTGGAAAATGTGCCCACATGTTTCGTGACGACAGTCGCTTCCTCAGGGGCTAATTGAATATCCAAAAAGATACATATGCTCAGACAACAAACCAACAAATCATCAAGCATGATGATTGATGACTTGTTGGTTTGTTGTCTAAACATATGTATCTCTTTTAGATATACAATTAGCACCGGAGGAAATGACTCACGTGAAACATGTCAGGCAAATATTCCATTTTTTGAATGTCCCTCAGCCCCCATAGGATCATCTTGGTGGTTTATGTCTATGCTACATCACTGGCTGTTATCCTTCAATATATGGTGGGCTGTGGGACATTCATTGTGGGTATACTGTACAACTAACTTTTATCTCAAATGGTTTACAGGTGACGGAATGTCAAATAAAGAAATACTGATTTTACTATTTTGTGTATGTAGTTTCTGTGCCCACAAAGTCCATTCATATAACACCCTTCATTAAATATTAATTATGAGGACCTGGCACTGTTGTTTATATTGGGTGTGACCCATCACCCGAGGGTACCCCATGCTTCCCTTACATATTTAAAGTACATGTACCCAATTGAAGAAAGTTAGCACTGTGTGCAGTACCTTGTCTGCCTTTCTATAGTTTTTGAAATAACTCCCATTTTATAGAACAATATTCTGTTCAATTTCCTAGTTGAGGTCAGTTTCCTGTTTTGAATTTGTAGCAATGCTGCAAACTAATAAAACTGTGAACAAACAATAACATTGTGAAGAAGGAAGTCAATTACATTTGTGGTGGCACATCAGCAAATCCCTGCAGTGATTCCAAGTATTACAATAAAAGGGATATTTCACATTTGGGTACATTGTTGCTACAGACTCCCAGAGTGAAAAACAATTGTGTTAATAAACAGTTGTTTTATATTTATATGTGTAGAACTATGAACATGCTGCTGTGCTGAGTACTGGCAAAATGAACATAGCAACAGAATGATGTTCTTGTGGCAGTGTTGTATGTAAGTGTAGAACGTATGTTATGTTTCTTTTCCAAATAAATTACTGTAAAATGATGTTCCTTAATTTGTGGGTGTCTGGTATAGAATAGATATTTACATATTAGCACCCTTCCTGTCCCCAGAAACTGCAACAAAATTGTTAATAGATTATAAGTAAATAACGGTTAGTGTTGCATGTTCACAACCATCATCAGACTGGCAATCTGAAACATGACAGCTGGAGAAAAACGTTTTCGATCTGATCATTGAGACAGTGGTGTCAGATTAGTATCGTAGCCCCCATATTCTTGAATTTATGTAACTTGTCCAATGCTTGCAATTTGACATATTTTACTGACAGGGCAGCACATGTGGGGTAAACAGTGGACCACTACTTTCTAATCAATATAATTGTACCTGTGAAAAACCCAGTAATTCACAATCTTTGTGGTCAGATCCCTAGTGCCCATTGAGCCAGGCTTCTGCGTGCACCCGCCAGATAAACAAAAGCTTTAATGGCCCCTGGCATCAGCCACATCATAGTGCCAGAGCAATTTAAATGTACACAGCTGCCTGTGGCTTACTGATACTTAGCTCTCAGCTGTAGGTGGACTCAACATGCTACAAAGCCCTGGTTACATGGACAGAAGGAGATCATAGGTCCAACCCTACTGCTGGGGACACAAGCTGCAGAACGGTAAATGGTGGACAAGGTACAGGGTTCAGGGTGCACTTTGTACAGAGTGCATAGTTCAGCAGTACATTATGTACAGAGTGCAGTGCAGAGTTCAGGAGTACGTGGTGTACTGAGTACAGAGTTTAGGAGTATGTGACTTACAGAGTGCAGGGTTGCAAGAGTGCAGGGTTAAGGAGTGCACCACATACAGAGTGCAGGGTTAAGGAGTGCACCACATACAGTGCACCACATACAGAGTGCAGGGTTCAGCACTCTTTTACAGGATGTCCACATCTCACTTCCACCTCTCCTCGGCTTTGACTTCTGTACTACTTTCCCCCACACCCTGATGTTTTTGTTTTTATTTTTTTTTTTTGCTTCTTCTTTATTTTCTATTTTTAGTAGCCATGTAAATGACAGGAATTATGTTCAGATTTTTACTGGAAACCGCGTTATCTGTTTACAAAAAGAGAAATTGTTTCCTGGCAAAAATCATTGGCAAATTTGAGCCTGTATGAATGCGTTTCAAGGCCTTTGATAACTTAATTTACCTAGCTTTGGACAATACTGACTCTGCCTCTAGATCAGCATGGCACTGGTGGTTCAGGTCAGCACATGAAGCACCATTGAAATGAACGTACCCAGGTTTTAAGTACAAGTAGGACACAAAATATTAACCAAAACCAGAAACTATTGAATGCAATTTTTTTCCTTGATATTTTAGCAGTGAAGTAATAATTTTTATATTAAATACTCATAAGTGAATTTTAAAATGAACCTGTACTACTAATACAAGGCAAGCAACAGGTTTACTTTACATCTACAGACACACATACTTACCTTCCATGCTCCCTGTCCCTCTGTTCAGCTGCGGGAAGAGAAGACAAAGTTCTGTGTAAGCTATAAGTTACCTGAGTTGTAGCTTACAATGGGATATGGACTGCCTGGGTGACACCGTAGGTTGGCCCTGCACTGTTACCAAAGTGAGTCACATAACTGAAGTACCAGGAATATCCTCCACTCCCAGTGCTGAATGGAGCATCAGGGGAGCAAAGGAAAGTATACTGCTGCTGTGGAGGGGGGAATTAAAACAAGACTATTGACGGCGCTATATAAGTACCTGAAATAAATAAATACATAAATAAATAAGACTATTGCCTTGAATGCCCTGAGCAGCCAATTGGTAAGCACTAGTCCTGTCAAGTGGGATGAAGGAAAGTGAAATTCCAGGTATGTCGCCTCATTTCTCTAGACTGAAAGATTTGGGGGGGGGGTGGGGAAAGGGGGAATCGAGGGGATCGAGAAAAAAGAAGGAAACTATGAGCAGATTTAAAGTGATCTATTTGCTTTGTATTGCATGAATAAAACTAACGAATCTAGATCGTGGTGGAGCTGAGTGACTGGCACACATTCTAAACTGTTCTTTCAAACACCTGTCACTATTTGATCCATAGTCACATCAAGCCGGCAACTCGGTGTAGTCCATAAAATCCAAATCTTTATTGCTACATACTAAAACACACTGGTAATAGGCTAACGCGTGTTGGCTGTGACAGCCTTCCTCATAGCACACTGTGTTGCCAACTTCATGTTTCTATTGATCTGATTGTGTGCGGGTGCATTAGAGAACCAGTCCTCAGATGCTAGAAGCTGAACCATCAGTTGAGCTTGGGTATTGTTTATTTGCTGACCCTGTCACTATCGGTATATATATCTGTGCCTAATAAAAAGATATATATATCACTATCGCTATTTCAATGACTGCATTACCTTCAGAGCTGGATCACACCCTGAAGACATCTCATAAAGTTCAATTGCTGACCGCAGTACTTTTTCTCAGTGCAATGTGCCCGCACACAACCACAGTGCAGTGGTATGAACCAACCACTTAAGGAGACAACTCGTTTTGCCTTGTCCATAAGGTGGGACTGCACTGGAAGAGCCGCCCAATGCATTCCCACCGCATCTGGTGTGAACCAGCCAACGGAGTGTTGGCTCTTTTGGTGTATATTGTCCTTACTAGTAATAACTGGGCTAGAATTAAACAGGCTAAGGATACAGGTTTCTACATAGTATTTATTTTTACAATGCATCCACATCAGTTTTGTGTTTACAGTAAGTAAGCTTTTTGTTTGGATTTTATATTATACACAGTCTTCCACTTCGGCACAAATGATCCTGTGTTCTCCTAAATAGTCAGCACAGTGTTATTTTTTGCAACTTTAAGCAAAGCAGATCTCAGTGGAATGCTAGGTTTACCCTTCTATATTCTGTGGTGGTGTGTTTGCACCAACACCGCATCCTATTCATTTAAATGGGCTGCTGTGCCTTGCAGGAAAAAGTCCCCAACACTTTTCACAAAATGCACTCACAGTGCAGCCACATGGAACGGATGGTGCTACAGCACCATGCAGTTTTCCCACATCCTAAATTATGCACCCCTACCCACATACACTATATTGCCAAAAGTATTGGGACACCTGCCTTTACACACACATGAACTTTAATGGCATCCCAGTCTTGGTCCGTAGTTTTCAGTATTGAGTTGGCCCACCCTTTGCAGCTATAACAGCTTCAACTCTTCTGGGAAGGCTGTCCACAAGGTTTAGGAGTGTCTATGGGAATGTTTGACCATTCTTCAAGAAGTGCATTTGTGAGCTCAGGCACTGATGTTGGACGAATAGGCCTGGCTCACAGTCTCTGTTCTAATTCATCCCAAAGATGTTTTATTGGGTTGAGGTCTGGATTCTCTGCAGGTCAGTCAAGTTCCTCCACCCCAAACTCACTCATCCATGTCTTTATGGCCCTTGCTTTGTGCACTGGTGCGCAGTCATGTTGGAACAGGAAGGGACCATCCCCAAACTGTTCCCACAAAGTTGGGAGCATGCAATTGTTGAAAATGCCTTGGTATGTTGACACCTTAAGAGTTCCCTTCACTGGAACTAAAGGGCCAAGCCCAACTCCTGAAAAACACCCCACACCATAATCCTCCCTCCACCAAACTTTACACTTGGCACAAGTGCGCACTGTGTGCTTCAGCACGTGCTGACCCCACTCTGTCATTTTACATGGCCTACCACTTTGTGGCTGAGTTGTGGTTGTTCCCAGTTGCTTCGACTTTGTCACAATACCACTAACAGTTGACCGTGGAATATTTAGTAGCAAAAAAATTTCCCAGATTGACTTATTGCACAAGTGGCAACCTATCACGGTACCACGCTTAAATTCACTGAGCTCCTGAGAGCGACCCATTCTTTCACAAATGTTTGTAGAAGCAGTCTGCTTGCCTAGGTGCTTGATTTTATACACTTGTGGCCTTGGGGTTTTTGGAGGGGTGTCCCAATACTTTTGGCAATATAGTGTATATGTGAACCTAGCCATATGTGGGTTTAGAACTGGTGCTTCCCGACCTGCAGACAAAATGCACTGCTCTTTAGCAGTCGTGCAAGGGTACCATTAATTGTTAATGGCACCCCAACACATAAAAAAAAGCAGTGCGTTTTTGGGGGTCAAAAAACTGCATGGTGCTGCAGGGTGCATTATGGAAAAAGAGTTTTTACTTGCGTTTACTGCAGTTACAGCAGCCCATTCAAATGAATGGGCAGCTGTGCTCGTTGAGACTCACCCACACCGTGTCAATCTAGGTTTATTAGATGACTTGGTAAAAAATAAATATCCATAGAAAGGTAAGTCCATGCAAGATTGCTATTCAAGTATTGGATGAACACCAATGTGCTTAGCTATTTGTTTTTCTCTGGTGGCAGGATATCTCCATTGTAGCTACTGATCTTATTCAATTCCTGATGATGCGACATGGATCACTTTCATTGATTTGAATTTGCAGTTGAGTTATTATACATTGTGGAAAATCAACTGCGGGGTAAAAGACTTGGATGCAATAACAGAGTTTTTGCAACCCTTCAACAGATTTGATTTCATAGTAGGTTTTGATCAGACAATAGTATTCGTTTGTACCGAATTTAGGCCGTTGTTGGCAGCTAAGGTACCAAGGTTACCTGGGTACAAAGATTCTGGGGAGTTATTATGATTGTACAAGGCCAATTGACCTGTGTAGGATTCATTTCCTGAATTAATACACAGTAGTTGTGCTTTACTGCTCCTTTTTATTTTTCAAATCTATGATTTACTTTACTCATGGCAAACAATGCATTCTGTATGTGGCTAATGGTGATAAAAGCTGGTGTGTAGGTATAAAAATAATAATAAAAACTGAAGTTTAGGTATTGCAATTTGTACAAAGTTTCATTGGACCAACTTGAACCAATGTACATATGCATGTGCCATACCTGTGGGTACCCCATGGAAACTGGATATCACTGTAGTAGGCACTTCAACTACAGAGATTGCCATTGGCTTCCAGGTACCCATGCAAAGTGGCTGCATTGTGAACATAAGAAATCAGTGGTTCGGCATGGGTGACATTCAGAGAACACTTCGCATTTTCTTATTTATATTTTCTGCATTTTTTTCTATCCTGGAGCGCCTAGAGAATAATTAGGTGGGCAGCACAACATGCTGCAGCAAACTATGCTTATGGTGATAATTGTGCTAACAGTGCGAGGGGCCTGAAACTTGAGCCTTCTTACTCTGTAACATGGTAACATTTGGCACAGTCCTTGTACCCACAAGATATGCTTTGATTGTACCACAAGTAATAGTCTAACTGACATATACAAACCATAACAAAAAAATTAAACTCTTCAGGAAGAACATAACATGATGACTACTGAGCAACCAGCAACTGAGAGCACTGCAAAGAGTGCATTGGTAAGGAGAATGTCATATAAGACGGCTCTAGGCTTTGTTTGGCCTTATGCTAAAACTTAGACATGAGGCCACACTCATAATGGGAAAAATAATTCAATTCAATAAACATTAGCTGTATAAATTTCCCCATATATGCAGCAAGGAGACATGTCCCATATATCCAGCAAAGAGACATGCCCCATATATCCAGCAAAGAGACATGCCCCATATATCCAGCAAAGAGACATGCCCCATATATCCAGCAAAGAGACCTCCCTCATATCCAGCTGACAGCCCAATCCAGCTAACATACAGTGGAATCCGGCTAAGAGACAGTCCCAGCTAAGAGACAGCCTGATCCAGCTAAGAAACAGTCCAATCCAGCTGAGAGACAGTCCCAGCTAAGAGACAGCCCAATCCAGCTGAGAGACAGTCCCTGCTAAGAAACAGTCCAATCCAGCTGAGAGACAGTCCCAGCTAAGAAACAGTCCAATCCAGCTGAGAGACAGTCCCAGCTAAGAGACAGCCCTATCCATCTAGGAGACAGCCTTATCTAGCTAAGAGACAGCCCAATCCAGCTAAGAGACATCCCCAATCCAGCTAAGAGACATCCCCAATCCAGCTAAGAGACAGCCCCAATCCAGCTAAGAGGCAGATCTAATCCAGCTAAGAGGCAGCCCCAATCCAGCTAAGAGGCAGCCCCAATCCAGCTAAGAGGCAGCCCCAATCCAGCTAAGAGACAGTCCCATTCCAGCTAGAAGACAGTCCCATTCCAGCTTGGAGACAGTCCAATCCAGCTAAGAGACCGTTCAATCCAGCTTTAAGACAGTCACAGAGAGACCCACATCTAAGCAGCATTGATAGACAAAGCTCTCTGTCCTACAACATTGCCAGTCCAAATGCCAATCAATAATTTACCCTTACCAAGGCAGCAGTACAACTTCTCTCCACTCATTGTTTCCACAGCAGTGCAGCACAGTGATCACTGACCAGTAAGGTGGCTCTTCTTCCACACAGCTCCGAGTGCAACTGCCTCCAAAGAAGCATGCAGTCTGTAGAGAGAAGTGGAGTGCAGTTGATATCACTTTGCTTTCCCTTCCACTCTCTCAGGCTGCAGTGCAGCCGGAACCTTTGAGCTCTAACGCCGATCCTTGGCTTATGCATCAGCGCAGCGTCCACCAGCTCACTTTGTGGCCGCTCTCCAGACCAGCCCAGAAAAAAATCCTTAGCTCTAGGCAGACCAGCCACGAGGCCCCTGTAAGCACAAGGCCTTAGACAACCGCATAATTTGCTTAATAAAAAGCCTCCTCTGTGTAGTGATCAGGAGAATAATATATACAGCCTAGTATACAGAGTGCAGTGGTCAAGAGCATATCATATACAGCCCCATATTCAGAGTTCAGTGGTCAGGAGTATGTCATATACATCCTGGTGTACAGAGTGCATTGGTCAGGAGTATGTCATATACAGCCTGGCTACAGATTGCAGTGCTCAGGAACAGTTCATACATATCCCAGCATGCAGAGTACAGTGTTTATATGTATTTCATTTATATATGTGAAAGTGTTATAAGCAAAAATTAAACTTTAAATAAAAACTGTGAAGTCCATCAATCAGCATCAAACAGTTGTTAACCCTCACTGTCCTATAACATCATAGTTCAAAATGTTCAGAAATTCTTCTAACGATCATCCTCATGTGCATGTACCGAAACGCGTCAAAAAAAGACGGAAAATAACAACGATATAGTGCATTATCCTTTAATATAACATAAACTTAATTCATCAAATAAAGGTCATTTGATTTTATTATTGGCACACAATCCATGAAAAGTAATAGTGAAAGTGGTTGTGGAGATCAATCCTGAGAAAGCTGTTGGATTAATATAAATGTGTTTTCTGGAGTGAAGGGTACCCTTAATAAATGAAAACACTTGTGTATGAAGGGTGAAATACACAGTGTTTTCACCTTCAATCTGAACATTTTGAACTATGATGTTATATAAAGGACAGTGAGGTACATGTTAACAACTGTTTGATGGACAACTGATTGATTGATGGACTTCACAGTTTTTATTTAAAGTTTAATTTTTGCTTATAACACTTTCACATATATAAATTTGTTACACCTTCAGGGGAAGGTGTTGTTTGTGTTGTGGGTTATTGTAAATCAAATTTGTTTAGGAGGTGGTTTTTGATAAAATATATGTATTTCATGCCCATCCTAGCATACAGATTGCATTTGTCAGGAATACGTCATACATAGCCTAGAGTGCAGTGGTCAGAAGCATGTCATTTACAGCCCAGCCTGCCATCTCCCTGCAGTGCAGTCACCATTCTGGCCCCCTGTGATTTTCTCTTCCCTGCATAGCAGAACTTACCGTGTGGCTCACTCTGCTTCTCTTGCTGTATAGCACAGTCTCCTGTGTCCTTCTACAGCTTTCTCTTCCTCTGGCTCCTTTCACCATACAGCCTGTGCTGTGGGTCCAGTGGACAGTGCTATAATTCTGGCAATCCATGCTACCATTCAGATCTCTTCTCTCTTCTTTCTCATTCAAGCTGCCCATCCATGGCATGGGAGGAGGAGTAAGTATGCCCAGCCAGTGTGGTTCCCGCACCTTAAAATGGCCATATCCCCCCTTTTCTACTCCCTGATAGATAGCCATAGGCTAACTCTAAATCACCACCAGGCTCCACTCATAAATAAAATATCACACTTTTGGAAGGATCGGCCCTTTAATATTCAACATTACCTTCTCCTACCTCCTACCTAAATTATTAGGCACAATTATTAGACAAGAGAGTTTTTTGACCAAATCATCATTTTTATGCATATTGTTCAACTCCAAGCTGTATAAACTTGAATGCTTATTGGATTTAAGCATAGCAGGGGATGTGTATTAGTGTAATGAGGGAGGGTTTGGCCAAAGAGGATCAACACCCTATATCAAGGTGTGCATAATTATTAGGCGGCTTCTTTTCCGCAGCCAAAATGGGTCAAGAAAGAGATTTACTGATTCTAAAAAGTCAAAAATTGTAAAAAGTCTTTCAGAGGGATGCAGCACTCTTGAAATTGCTAAGATATTGGGGCATGATCACAGAACCATCCAACGTTTTGTTGCAAATTGTCAACAGGGTTGCAAGAAACGTGTTGAAAAAAAAAGACGCAAATTGACTGCCAAAGATTTGAGATTAATCAAACTTTAAGCTACCAGGAGCCCATTATCCTCCAGTGCTGTCATATTCCAGAACTTTATCCTATCTGGAGTGCCTAGAATTACAAGGTGTTTAGTGCTCAGAGACATGGCCAAGGTAAAAAAGGCTGAAACCTAACCACCATTGAACCAGACACATAATTGAAAAGTCAAGACTGGGACAAGAAATATCTAAAGACAGATTTTTCAAAGGTTTTATGGACTGATGAGATGAGGTGACTCTTGATGGAACAGATGGATGGGTCTGTATATTGATCAGTAACCGGCACAG